TTTTCATTTAAGTTATTCTGTTATATTATCCTGTATTCGTTTCACACTCCGGACACGTCTCTTTGCTCTTGGTTGCTTTGCTCGGTAGGACCTCCCCCCCCCCCCAGTGCACAAATTTTTGTGCACTGGGCCTCTAGTATTTAAATATTCACCTATTGAACCACTAAAATGCAATTGTAACCCCACAATTACAGTACCTGAGGCACACCCATCCATTTCCAGCCAAGTCCAAACAAGGTGACATTGCCTTGTTTCAGCTCATGCTCTAGGTAACCTTTTCAGTTTATTTAGTGCCACATTTTTGGCATTTTTGTGTTTTTTGTTAGTGAGATAGCTGTTTAAAATGATCCCTAAGCCTAGTGCTGAAATGGTATCTAGTGTTCTTTAAGTGCAATAACGCTATGTGCCTTATGGAAAGATACATGTTTTAGATAAGTTTTGTTCAGGAATGAGTGACAGTGTTATTGTCCGTGAGTTCAATGTTAATAAATCAACAATACTATATATTAAAGAGCTAATATGCTAATTAGACCAAACAGCAGAACGACTGTCCGGACAACCTTCTGGACGAAGCAGGGGCTGCGAGGGCCGAGCCCCTTGCACGAATTTCGTGCATCAGGCCTCTAGTATATATTAAATAAAGTATCTTTAAATAGAAGCACATAAAACAAGGGCATGTATGAATAGGTTGACAATACTGTTGTGACCAAAGACTTCCAGGAAACTAACCTTGTATTTCACCTAAGAGCAACGGTTCAATATTTGCTAATTCAGTGTTTGCAGCAACTTTATAGAACATAATTTACTACCATGAGTACTAAGAATTGACTATATTAAAACATTTTTATGGAGATATAATTGACATTTAAAATTCACCCAGAGTATGCAAATCAATGGTTTTTTAGTATATTCAGAGTTGTGCCACCAAAGCCATAGTCTAAATTTAGAACATTTTCATCACTCCCCCCTCAAAAATCCTATACCCTCTGTCAATCACTCCACACCTCATACTCCTAGTCCTAGACAACCACTAAACTGATTTCCATATGAATTTGTGTATTCTAAACATTTCATTTAAAGGAAATCATACAAAAAGTGGCCTTTTGTGTCTCGCTCATTTTGTGTGTCTTCAAGGTTCATCCATATTCCAACATGTATCAGTATACATTCCTTTTTGTGGCTGAATAATATTTATTTTTTATGAATATACCACATTTTACTCATTATTGGGTAGACATTTGAGTTGTTTCCACTTTTATTATGAATAATATGAATAATACACATTCATGTACAAGTTTTAGTGTGGAAATGTTTTCATTTCTCTTAGATATATATCTAGAAATGGAATGCTGTCTTTGTTTAACTTTTTGAGGAACTGCCAAACTTTTCCAAAGATACCATTTTACATTCCCACCACCAATGTACATGGGTTCTAATTTCTGCACATCCTAAATTTCTTGATCTCTCGTTAAGAGTACTCATTTTAGCCCTAACTGGTTTGGCTCAGTGGATAGAGCATTGGCCTGTGGACTGAAGGGTCCCAAGTTCGATTCCGGTCAAGGGCATGTACCTTGGTAGCAGGCACATCCCCAGTGGGGAGTGTGCAGGAGGCAGTTGGTTGATGTTTCTCTCTCATCAATGTTTCTCATTCTCTATCCCTTTCCCTCTCCCTTCCTTTCTGTAAAAAAACAATAAAATATATA